AATTGCAATAGAGAATTACAGATAACATAATATTTAAGAATGTGCATAGCAAGTAATGTTTCAGAATAACAATAAAAATAATTGATTTGCAACATAATCATTTAGAGAAAGCAAGAAGACAAAATGTTCTATTATCTTAACAGAATATGTTCTATGCATGGAAAATTAAATATTGTTGAGGCAATTATTTGCATAGTACTGAAACTACAATAAAAAAAAATCTAAATTACATATACCTTACCTGAATACCAAATAGTCCGTTCACAAAATTAGTAAGAGATTAGATATGTTACTGTAAACATTACAATATGTTCTCATTTGTGTGGACATAAACTTATAAGGAAACTAAGAAAGATGGAAACTCACAAAGAATATGGATATAATGATTTGGAAGCCATGGCTTTATACTGTTTTCTTAGGCCACAGTTTTCTGGGCTGACAGCAAATTGAAACCTAAAGCAAAAATGAAAATATTAAGGGTTTATTAAGGGCATTACATCTTATTTTGATATAAGATTGGACAATTGTCAGGCATTTGGGGGAATGTATCCATACAGCCACCCATCCACTCCATCCCACCATCTGCTTGCCTGCGGCTGTGATGGGGCATGTGGTCATATGTCACGTTCGGTGGGCCAGATTGCATACCTTCCCCCATGCCTCTGCCTCCTGTTTCTGGTACCACCACAGCGAGGAGAGATAAGGCAGGTGGTGGGGTGAGAGTGGTGCTGCTCTGTGGTCCCTGTGAACTCAGGTCCCGCCATCCAACTTTGTCCTCTAGCTCTCTCACACATGCGGGATGATTCTCTCACCCACTGCCCCACCTAAGATGGCTCCAGTGAATGGGAAGGGTGGGAAGTCCCCACCTCCAAGAGACACCTGGGGCTCCCTCCCTGTTCTGCCCCTCTGTCTTTGCTTGCTGCTCAGAAGGCTGGCCTGGTGGTGGCAGCAGTCAATCAACCAGTGCTGCATGGGCTGCACAGCCCTAAGAGGCTGGTAGTCTGTAGCTGCTGCCAGACACTGATAACCCCTGTGTATTCACACCACCTGTGCTGGCCATGCAAAGGGCTGATGTTCTTAACTGCGGCTTATTTTTGGGGTACAGCTTTATTATGAGCATCCTGAAAAAGCATGCTAGGGCTTATTTTCTGGTTGGGGCTTATTTTCAGGGAAACCCGGTAGGTATGATGCCAGTTATAGGATTCAATTTTTTTACTACTGGTTCTGTCGGTGTGGCTTGGTGGGCGTGGCAAGGGAAGGATACTGGAAAATCTCCATTCCCTTCCCACTTCTGGGGAGAGACTACTGCAAAATCCCATTCCCTCCCCACCCCACTAACCTGCTTTCCACTCCGTTCTTCTGTGCAGAGCAACAAAATAAGACCCAGCCCAGCTGGGACCCAGGAGGCAGAGAATAGATGGGGGCAGGACCATTCAGAGGTGGTATTTGCTGGTTCTCCGAACTACTCAAAATTTCTGCTACTGGTTCTCCAGAACTGGTCAGAACCTGCTGAATACCACCTCTGTATGATGCTTAAACTATGCATAGAAGGAAGGATATATAAAACTAAAACAGATGTTAAACCATTTGTGTAAGGCTATTGAAGCTTATAAAAATTGGGCCATTAAAGCCAATCAGGATTTTGTTTTTTATCCACAGAAATGAATGTCATCAGTGATCATTTAGATGGAGTCTAAATGTATTTCTGCCATCCATCCATCCAAATTATAAGGCCATCCATCTTACAAAACTGTAACTTTGGGTAGTGTGCAATACAGTAATAAATATATATTATTATTATTTTAAATTACAATTCAGAAAATTTTTAAATTGTAATGGAAGACTAAGAGAGGATAAACAGAGTCAACACAATGGAACTGCCTCAGTTCTTCATTCCTTACATTTCCAAATGACATAACCAAGTTTTGAGAGACATCCAGAATGTTCTCAATTGTTAGGGATGGGCTTCTTTGTATTTAGTTCTCTTCCCACTTCTTTGAATGTGCATGTGACCTCTACAAGAAAGTCAAGGAATATGTAATAAGACTTAGATCTTCTATGAAGATAAGATGGCTCATCTTTGAGAGCTATTCAAAATTCTTCATTTTTTCTTAAGTACAGTATTCTGTAGATACAATGTTGATATTCTATGCAGTACAAACATTTAAAAAACAAGTAGTCTTTGTTCAATGACCACTCTACAATTCAAAGTTATGATGGGACTGAATGATGGGACTCCCATGTAATCATGATTTGTCATGTAATCATGATTTGACTACTTGGCAAATGGCTTGCAATTACAATAGTTAAGAGTATCTAGAGGTCACATGATTGCTATTTGTAACCTTCACTGCCCTGCTTCTGACAAGCAAAATCAGTAGGGAAGAGGGCCTGAGGTTACAAATGGTGATCAGGTGATAGCGGAATATTGTTATTTTGTAGGATTTGCCTAACAAAGACAACTCAAACTGTTACAACTATCATTGTAAGTCAGTGCAGTCACATGACATTGCACTTTATGACTGTGTCCCTTAGCAATGGAGTTGCCAGTCCCAATTACTATCTTCAAGTGAGGATTATCAATATAACATAGTCTTTGTTTTTTGTTATACTAGGTGATATCAATGTTGTGAGCATTTTACTTTCATTAAACTACCTAAAAACCAAAATCAAAACAAATAAAACAAAACACAAGGAATAAGAAAAGATACAAAATCTTTAAACCAAGCTAGAAATTAAGAAGTCAAAAATCTATTTCTCTTTTTTTTTCTCCTTTCTGTTTAAAGGTGATAGTGACATAGATAGATGTTAAGACTATTGAAATTATATAATGTCTTCAATTTTTTTTGTATTATTCAGTTTCTAGGCAATTAATTAAACCTAGATTACGAAGATTAAAGGATTGTTCCAAGAGATTGTGAGTATGGTGATTATTTACAGAATGGCATGAAGTGGCGTCTGCAGGAACCCTGTAGATTGCACTGACTGGATGATGCCTGTTTGACAACTATGGAAAAATGATAACGTAAACAGGAAGCAATCTCAAGGCCTGTGGAACCTAGCAGGGCAGAAAGCAGGCCCATGGACTCTGGGACCTGGCAGGGTGGGAAGGAGATTCAAAGCCTTTGGACCAAAATCAGTTTTGTACACACTGGTAGACCAAGGTGGTGGCTGAGATGGGGAGTAAGACAGGCAGATCAGAATTGTTTCAGCATCCCTGCAATGGGTCATGAGGGCGGGCAGATTGCCAATCGCTTGAATTTTCATGTCATTGTGGGGGTGCTGCAGCTGCCATAACACAGATTGCATACCCCTTCATTTAGCACCATAGTTTTGAATTGTCACTGAGTGAATAGTCATGACAATATAGTCATGATTTCTTGATTGTATTCTAATCTAGTAATTTAAAAATGCTTCATTATCCTTTTCATCAGATACAGGACTCAAACTTTGGGCAGATGGAATTCAATTATATTAAGGAAACACAATTTGTTTTGCTTTTATTTCACTAACGGTGCAGTCACCAATGACTTGGTCACTCAAGTTCTTACTACGTTGTATGGAATATTGAATCATGTCACAGCCTAAAAATGCTGGAGATAACACGACAATGTCTTAAAAGTACCTGAACTTTGAAAGAATTATATATCCTGATTTTTAAAGCAGCAATTTTTGCAAGAAATATCCCAGGAAGTCTGCAAGTTTTTGCATAGTGGCTGAAAGATAAAACTATAATACTCAGTCATCTGTAGATACAAACATGCTCAGGGACGTCATCTTTTTGCCTTGGTTGATATTTATTTTGCCTTTTTAAAAATTGGCAAATGTGGAATATATATGGAAAAGCCTCAGACCCAGGGATGGGATCTGACCGGTTCTGTTGCTTTGTCACATGTGCATACACGAGTCAAGTGAGTGTAATTTACGACCTGCTGGGCTGCCCGGACAGCTGACCAGCGCTGTGTGCAAGTGCGCAGTGGTTGGAAAAGCCCTTTTCCCCCTGCTTTTTCAACCGCAGCTATGACACACAAAGCAGCTGCGGTTGAAAAAGCAGGAAATAAAGGTCAGGTAAGAGCCTGGGTGGGCAGGTGGGCCAAAACAGCAGCAGACATAGAACCAGGGGTGGGTTTCTACCAGTTCTGTCCACCTCTGTAGAACCGGTAGCTCTCAAGAGCAGCAGACATAGAACCGGTTCTATGTCTGCTGATGTTTTTGTCCGCCTGCCCACCTGGGCTCTTACCTGATCTTTATTTCCTGATTTTTCAACTTCAGCTGCCGACCGAGGCACAGCTGCAGTTAAAAAAACAAGAAAAGAGGGCTGTTTCAAAGGCTGCTTCTCAGCATGCAGCGGCTAATGATGATGAACAGGCACGCAGCTCACAGGGGACAGGGAAGCTCGTAAACCACGAACTGGTAGTTAACCCTGTTGTATCCCACCCCTGCATAGAATCGGTTCTATGTATGTTCTCTATCTGCTGCTCTTCAGAACTACCAGTTCTACAGAGGTGACAGAACCAGTAGAATCCCATCCCTGCTCAGACCATTTAAAGATGTTACCTAGTTTGGTAATTAAACATCAGGGAGCCAAGCAGCAAGCTCGAAGGACAAACCTCATATATGTACATGTGTTTACAGATGTAACACACACACACACACACACACACACACACACACACACACACACACACAAACAAACAGAGGTTTCTGGAAAGAATTGTTGAATTTATTCCTTGCTCATCTGGCCATTGTGTGTTCAGGTTACTGGAATACATAATTCTAGATTTTTTTGCTCCAGCTGTACTATTCTAATATTTTAAAACAGTATTTTAGATGAATTAGACTTTTGGTTTAATCTAGTAATTTCCTTCATCCTTAAAATATGCAAATCTTTAATGTGACCCATTATGGCCTATAGAACCTTTCTGTTCTTCCCACAAGCTACTATCCCTAAATACTTTTAAAACAGATGACAATTGGACATATTCTGGAGGAGATGCAGACTGTGAAAATACTTTTGAAACCCACAACATTCTTGAAATAATAATCACCTTAAGGCAGTTTATAAAAGCAATAATAAAATGGATATGTGAAATATTATAATCATGGTGACATCCTTGGGACTCAACATATTATGAAAAATGTTACATTAGGATCACATTTATAGGAAGTATTTAGAACACAATAATCATTCATTTAAAAGCACATTTATCTCTTGGAATACTGTTCTGAATCGGGAGGGTCATTGTTGAAAACAAGCATTTCAGAAGACATCTGAACACTCAAGCAAGTATATATTAAAAAGCTTCTGTCTTGTAATGCTCTTCCCTTGTTGCAGGAAATTACGAGACTCAGACCTTGGAATCCAAAAATAAGTTGGTTTTATTTGCGCAAACAGGTTCAGAATATTTTAGCCAGAGCTACTTCTGAACAAATTTCTTATAGAACAGCACATATACTTCTTCAGCCTATATACTTCTTCAGAAGGGGCAAAACACAGAAATATAACTTGTCAGTCACTCATTGGTGACTTGAAACGCAGCTTTCCCCCTCTCCTGTTGCTAGGCTAGGATGGCTGGTTGACACAAACCCACCTTGCTAAACTCCTTAGCTTGTGGTTTTGTTACAAACAAGACAAGGTATCTTGGCAAATATGACTTTGTGACTGATAGATGATCCTTGTGGTTTGGCTTTTCACACTTCCTTGTTCTTTCTCTTGCTAATACCATATATTTCACTATCTATAAAACTTGTATCATTATTTCTCTAAAATTAATATATTTTTATGTCCTGTCTTATTCCCCCCTTTGAGACTTTATTTAACAATTAAGTCTCGCTTTTATGATGTCTTAGATTAGCCCTTGCACATATAATGTTAGGTATTCTATCGAGACAGGGAAGTTTGACCACACTGAAAACTCTTAGCTAGGCAACTGAGAAAGAAACATGTTGCGGTTTCTTCAACTCAGATAAGCACTTTAAACATATCAGCTTTTAAAATTTGGGACCCCTCTAGGTCATCTAGTCCAACCCCCTTTTTGATACATAAAATCCTTTAAAAGAATTCAAAAGAATATATCTTTCCACCACACACTCTATCCCTAACACATTAACATATGTTTTACTTGTTCTTATTTTCAGCCGTACATAGAGGGTCAGCTTCCGGAGTGGCACCAGTAAGGCCTCTTCTGCCCCGTATGTTGCCTGCCCATTGCCAGTAGGGCAGTTATAAGGGACACTTCTTCAAGCGTATCATTCATTAGACTCACTCATGAATCCCCTAATTGACTTAAATCCCCTATATTATTTCTCAAACTAGTACTTATGACAGGGGGTCTTCCAAACATCATTTCAAAAGGAGATAACCTTATTACTTTTATTACTTTTGATTCTTTTAAACTTTGATAGTACTACATCTCTTATAAAGGGAATCAAACAGGGGAGAAACATTAGAACCCAGAATCCTAATACAGCAGACTTTGTTGAACCCTTCACCATCCCAATTTGCTACGCTCCAAAAATTTTCTTATTAGGGCTAGCTGGTTTTGCACAATGTTATTTTCCACACTTTACTTTGGCTAAGGTCCCAAGACTGCAGTCACCTCTTTTAAGAGGGTTTCTACCACAGTTTGTAGTCAAATTTAATTGTATGTCCATTACCTCCCAGAGTGCCATCCTCCATCTACGTGTAGGCCCTTTTAGAGTTTCAAGCATCCGGGGCATCACTGGTATCTAGGGATTCAAGGGCTCTTTGCTTTCCAAGCCTGAATTCATTCCTTCGATATGGATTCCCCTATGTTGCTTTAATGAAAGATTGGCCTTATGAATCCAAGTGGGGAGGCTAGTATAGGCATATTTTTCACATTCCCTATACATAACTTCTGGGGTAGTCCAGTTGCTATTATTTGCTTCATGATTCTTACAATATCACACTTGACTACTAGTCACATTTTTATTAGAACTTCTCTCAGTCCAGTCCCATTGGGCAAAACAGCTACCCACAATCCTAATTTGTTGGATTCCATTAATCTCCTATATTTGATTCTACACACACATACGCAAAACACACAAATGTCTTGTTGAAGACATTTTAGACAATTTCGTCCTCTCTTCTTCCTGTTGCACGGCCTTAAGATTCTTTCGACACCTAGCTGACTTGCAGTAAGTTTTATACATATCTATCTATCTATCTATCTATCTATCTATCTATCTATCTATCTATCTATCTATCTATCTATGCAAAAATGCTTTTTCCTGTAATAAGTTGCATAGAGAGCTTATATTTTTACTAGTTATATTTTAAGCTCAGCATTTTTCCTAAATTCTTATCTTTTGCTTTACAAATTAATATTCATCTCCCAACTCTGGCTATTGATGCTGGAGTTAGCTTTTCCCATTTATTAGAGGCTAGTTGCAATCACACTTTTGGTTTTGGTGGTGGTCGTGTTGCTTTTTCAAGGTTCCTAAATAGTTCACGTGTTCTTAGGCCACTTTGGTCCCATAACAGTTTGATACAAAGTTTCTCTCCTTCCTTTCTATTGAAAGTCCTCACTTAATGTAATTTCCCAACTCCCACCACCCAAACATTCAGTATTTACACCAGTCTCAAGACAATTATAAGACCAGCACGTCAGGTAAATTTAGCAGTGGGATTTGTTCTGTGGTTGTTATTTTATGTTGGGGAAATAACATAGGCAACCACTCAGTCCTAAATAGAAAAGGAATGTACAGTTTCTTCCTTCCAGGATTTTATCAAAACCCACTATCCTGCCTTAAATTTATGTAGAACAAAGTCCAAGGTGGTGTTTGTGCAAGGACCCCTTTCTGTCTTAAAAGAGAGACTGGGACAATTCAAAATATATTTTCTCACAATTTTGTCTGTTAGCTCAGTTCTAGGCAAACCAAAGCCCCCTCCCCAAATGTGGGGTTTCTTCTTTCTTGTACTAAGAGAGCTGTGGTGGCAATAGCTTGAATACATACTGGCCACCCCCATTAATTTGGATAGAAAGGCTACTGGTTTTAAGAGACTTCCCCATTTTTGAGCTAAAACCCCTTTTTGTTATTCCATCACAGACTGTTACAAATAAGTGGAAAGGTATTTCCCCATGAGGTAGTGAGAGAACTGGAGCTGTTTTAAGTGCTGCTTTCAATTTTTCGACAATTGCCTAACAGTCCCAAAAACTTTCTCAAGTCTCTCTTAGTTCCTCAATTCTAGCAGGAGTTATTTTTCTACTCCCTTCACTAATCAAGTGTCCAAGATATTTGATCTCTCTATCTACATACTATAATTTTAAATTTGATGTGGCATGGGTTGATTTTTATTTCTTGATTTTGAAATTTGAATTCTGGCTAATGTGGCATCCCAGAGGGATTATGCTTCAAGATGTCCAGGATGCCCCAGTATCCATTAAAAATTTAATTTCGCAATTTCTTGGTCCCACTTGCAATTTTATCCAGTGTTCTTGGAGGCACTTCACATGCAATGACTCCTGACATCCCTATTCTTCTATCATCTAATTTTTTTGTTCTATCTAGCTTTAGTAAATCACACACATTTCTCCATGAGACCTTTCTCATTTCCTCGTACATGCAATTTCTTTATATGAAAGTACTCTCCTTTTAATCTGGGATGGGGGTCAACACACAGACATTTATACCAATGTTTTTTTTCTTCATCATTAACATACTCACACATTTATACTGTAATCCAGACTGCTTGCATAACCAATTTCTCACACAAAAATTTCATTTCATTCTTTCTCCAAGCAAATCAATCATTACTTACAATTCTTTTCTGAGAGCTTTTTCTCTCAAGCCAATGTGCTATATTTCTTTCTTTTTTTTACTGTTGTTAGAGGGTCTCATCCTCCAGGTTTGGAAATGATTACACACAGACACATTCACACACACAACATTTCCAGACCTGGGGAGGTTTTGTCCCTTTAAATCTCCACTTTTTCTTTCTTTAGCAATGGGTTGTTGCCACTTCCCTTTTTCTTGAGTCAGGACTCCAAGAGCCATATTATTCTTTGAGTCCACATACAAATTGAAAGATTTCTCAAGGTTGGGAAGTCCCATAACAGGAGCTTGAGATGCTAATTTTTTTTAAGTCTCAAAAACCTGTTTTTGTTCACACTGTCAAACAAAGGGTTCCCTTTCTCCCCCCTTTGTGGACTCATAGAGTGATTTGGCTAGCAGGGCAAAATTTCTACAATAGCCTGCTGCTTAAAAAAACTCCTGTTCTGCAATTCAGCACACAGCTTCCTTTTTCTCATGTCCTATAGTTCTGTGGCCTTAACTTATAGTATAACCTAAGTATTTAACTTGGGGTTTCACTAATTGGGCTTTCTTTCTTATTGCTTTAGTGAACTTTGTCACTTTTACTTGAAGTTACACTCATTGTTAAGCACTTTTTACTACCTGTCTCTGCCCTGGATGTTCTGTCCCTTATCTTTCTAGTTTGGATCTCTCAGCCGAAGCTGGCTTACTTTTAAAGATCAAGATCTATAGAGACCTTCTTTCACACCTCGTTTGCACCTGGCCAGGGCTGTCATGAGCAAGTTTGAACTCCACTTTTCTTTTTAAAGACAAATTTTACTGTTTAATGTGTCCTCATGGGCTCCATGGAGAACACTGCCCTAATTTTACCAGTTCCAGATAGACACTCCTATGCCTGTTTCCAAATATAACACCAATCTTACCTATTTCTCTGTCCTTAAGGAGTTTCACATTTCTTCTTCTTTAGCCAAAAGCATTTTACTATCTGCTGGGGGCTCAGGTATTTCCCAATTTACGAAATACTAGGGTTTAAGATAAGGTATTTCATTTTTTTTTAAAGGTAGCTCTCTTGATTAAGTATTGTTTTAATTTACCCAACCAACATTTGCTTGTTTCCCCAGATGATCTCACCTGTATTGTGGTTCCTCAATTATGTATTTTGCCATTTTTCAATGCACAAATTTATCATTCTGTTCTTGCTTTAAACTTTTAGTCCAGGAGAGTAGGTTTTCCTCACTACGCTGGCTCAATAACTGCTCTAAAGGGTATTTTCACGCCCTTACGTGTTAGAGTCACCCCTAAGGGTTCGCTTTACCTCCTGCAGGAAAAAAGTTAGCTGAAACAACTACAAGAATTCCCCATTCTTGTCGAGATTCCCTAACCTGTGTAACTGCCCCTCCTCTTTGTCTTGACTTGCTTGTGCAATTGGGAGAGGGTAACTTTTCTGCCGGAGACAAACAGGTACTATCAGAGGCTTCACTTGAATGACTAGTGATATATGGTGCACTGCATATCCTGGCAGATTACCTTTTGCCCATAATTGGTCACATCAAACTCCTGCCAAGTATTGAGGACTCAAACCTCTTGGGCCACCATTACTTGCCACATCTCATTTGGAGAATGCCTCATGACTAGTGCCATTTTATCTTCCTCAAATGACAAAGTTGCCCCCATTTTGCATAACATGTCCCAGCCCATTAAGGGAATGGGACACTCGGGCATGTATAGGAATTGATATTCAATGTCCCTTCTATTCAGGGAACATCTCAGGGGCTTTAGAAAAGGGTGGCAATTTACAGAGCCATCAACTCCTTGTATATTTATAGCATCAGCAGAAAAGGGGAGCCAACAACTTAGTAACTACAAATCTAGATGCCCTCTATCTTCATTCAGACCAAGGGTTCAGGGGCGGGGGGCAGAAGAGGTTCCTTAGGCCTAACCTAATTAGCCTTAGGCCTGATCTGTTTTTGGCATTTCCTTTTGTATTCCCTGCACTCCTGCCCTGGGAACTTGATTATTGCCATCATCAACATTGCGGGGGGATTATCTTCTTCATAGGGTTCAGTTTTCAAGACAGGTTTGATTTTAATCTGACTCGCCTTGATCTGAGATCTGGGACTCAGCATTTGCGAAGCCATTCAGGATTCTGTTTTACTACTACTTGCCACTGGTCAATATACTGGTATTGATCTGGGTGACCATTATCTGGGTCAGTAACAATCTGGTGGTCTTTTGAAATGATGTCTAGATTAAAACTGCCTTCGGGCTTCCCTTCTTAAAATTCCTCAGCATACACTGAAGAGGCATCCAGGGGACACTTCCTCCACCACCCATTTCTAGACACTGCCACTGACCTGTGATAGCGGACGTTCCAATGGTCACCAACAGGAACTGCAATGGCTTAACCACTCACACAATACTAGGGCCTCGTTAGGATTCACTGATCCCAGACCCAGTGGGGTGATCAGGCCCGCTCTTCCACTCTCAAATGAGTGGGTCTACAATTCCCTAATTCTTATACTTGCCTGCAGGCATCTTCTTTCCAGCTGGTGTTATTTCATGACTTATTTTTGATTCCATTTAGGTTCTTGGATCAGTCGGTTATCCACCAGATACCCCTATGGTGCCGTCTGCCCCTTCCGGATAAATCATCCATGTTGGCTGAAGAGTCAGTGAGACAGCCCCGGCTGGGCACCGGTCAGTCCGTGCCGTCCTCAGCAAAATATCGCTCTGAGTTCCAGTGGAGTCACCATAAATGTTGCAGGAAATTACAAGATTCAGACCTTGGAATCCAAAAATAAGTTGGTTTTATTTGCGCAGGTTCAGAATATTTTAGCCAGAGATACTTCTGAACAAATTTCTTATAGAACAGCACATATACTTCTTCAGCCTATATACTTCTTCAGAAGGGGCAAAACACAGAAATATAACTTGTCAGTCATTCATTGGTTACCTGAAACACAGCTTTCCCCCTCTCCTGTTGCTAGGCTAGGATGACTGGATGTCACAAACCCACCTTGCTAAACTCCTTAGCTTGTGGTTTTGTTACAAACAAGACAAGGTATCTTGGCAAATATGACTTTGTGACCGATAGATGATCCTTGTGGTTTGGCTTTTCACACTTCCTTGTTCTTTCTCGTGCTAATACCACATATTTCACTATCTATAAAACTTGTATCATTATTTCTCTAAAATTAATATATTTTTATGTCCTGCCTTACCCTAGTCCTTCTCTTTGCTTAAACATATCTGTTCCTGATGAACGGTTGTTCATCGTATGTTTCATCCTCTAGACCCCTAATTTTTGTTGCTCTTCTTTGCGCCCTTTCAATTTGGGGGGGGGGGGTAATGTAGGTACCAGAACTGGATGCAATATTCCAAGTGTGGCCTCACCAAAGCAGTATATAGAAGTACTAAATGTTACAGGTATTCTGTCTACCTTATATACAGCTGTATCATTCCTCTCTATTGCAGTTGTTTCCTGTATCTCGTTGCCAGTCTATGATTCTTTTCTATTGTTCCTGTGATGCATTTCCTGTTCCTGTTGTATTACTCACTCTCTCTAGTAAAGAGTGATGCACAATGGTGGCCTGTAGTATGCTTACTTACTCCACATGAAACATGGTGTCAGAAGCATTTGAATCTACACTGTCTCTACACATTTGATTCATACCAGTCTAGCACTTGTGGTCCTGTCCTGGAAGCCAAGCAATTCAAAGCAAGAAAAGCATTATAGCAGCCACCAACAGCATATCACTGCCCAAGGCCATGAGAGTTAGTGGAGATAGCAGCAGTAACTGACATAACTGTCTGAAGTTATGGATTAGTTTGAGGATTACTCCTTAGCTAGGGCTTAGACACAGGGTTAAATGATAAGCAAGCATCAGTGCAAGCAGCGACATTGAGAAGGTTGATGGGCAGTGAATGCCTCCCTGTTTGCAATTTAACCCATACAGAGGAGCAGAAATATGATACTAAAGCTTCCTAGATGCCTTTGAAGCCTTTTCCAGAGGCTTCTAAAAATGTCATATTTGAAAGATATATCTGGCAGCCTTAAGCAAGAAAAATTATTGTTAATGTGATTTTGATTAATATGAATGATACCAGGAACCAACTCTGTTCACACACAATACAGAAGTATAATTAAAAAATAATTAAAAATATATTAAAAAAGAATGCATTGATGCAGTACACTCTAAAGGCAAAAAATGGTTTGTAAATTTCAGATTTAACAATATAACCCAACCCTGCAACTGGACTCTGGTGCAACATATGATGTCATGAATTTAAAGGACAAAATGAATTTGGCACCTGAGATACTTATTCAGCCTAGTAGCACCAAGCTGAAGTTGTATTCATTGGGACTTTTCCCAATGCAGCATATGTGGGGGAATTTACAAACTTTAATTTGAGATTGTGGAAGCCGATCAGAAACTACTATTGTCAGGATTAACATGCGAGCATATGTGCATCTGGTTTGAAGCTGTTCACCATTCTGGCTGAGTTACACAATAGAATAGAATACTATAGAATTCTTTTTTTTTTTTTTGAAACAAATTTTATTAATTTTACAGACAAACAAAGCATCATTAGACATTAAAGACATTAAACCTCTTTCCATTATAAATTTTTACAAGGCAGATAAAACATTGTTGTATACAATATAATTCTAATATATCCCATTTCCACTTAAATATTTTTTAGCAGATTTCTCATTATTTCTCTTTGCTCTTATTCAATTACATTTCTTCTATATTTATCCATTTTATACTCATCATATTCATATTTCCCTCTGCCTTGTTTACAAATATTCCTCTCGCTTTCTCCCAAGGTTTTATTAAATCTCAATCAAACATACAGACACAAAACACAAAAACATAAAACTTCTTTTTAAAAAGTAGCTTGGCCCCAGATTACCTCTCTTTATATGGACTTCAATTAGATTCGTGTTCAGTTTATATGCCATTACCTATCTTATTACCCTTCTATATCTTCATTATAACTTCTCCCCGCTTTCCACTCTTCTTAATTCTATTTTATTTATTTCATCTTAATTTAAATCATTATATTTGTATCTTTTGTCCCTTCTTTTCCAATTATCCATTTATCTCATTCATATTAGAAAAAAAATATTTCTCCTGAAATCACTAATCGAAGTATGATGCCTTTCCATCGCTCCCCTAAATTAACATTTAAGGTAACACCTAATTCC